GCAATTATGGACGTCCTGTTGAGATCACTGGAAAGCTCCCAAAATTTTGGTGTTGAGCCTCTTCCTGGTAGTCGCGTGACCAACTTAGATGATGTTGATGATATCGCTCTACTCGGTGAGGATTTAAAGAGTGTATAGCTCTTTTTGAACCGTCTGGCTGCTGATGCGTCTAAGTATGTAATAGAGAGGTAAGCAGAGCCAATGTCCAGATACGAGGTCGCGCACAGGCGTACCGCGGAGCATGTGAGCTGTCTGCTGCATGCGAAGGTCACCAGCACGAGCGTGGAACGACCTTCGAATGTTTTTCCAAATTTGGGAATCGGATGCAAACTGATTGGCCAGCAAATACAAGCCCGAGTCAACGGAGGCGAACCATTCTGCCAAATATGGAAAATCCGTGGGACGGAATTAACTCACATTGGCTTAGAGCCAAACGCTTCCAAAATTAGTATGTTTCGTTCACCGATAAATAGAACTGACCTGTCGTGCAGAATAGACTTCCTGATTACCGGAGCCTTGGCCTTCTGTATCCCGTCGGTTGGTTGGGCGCGGGACTGAGTAATCAGGCGGTCGTAGTCTCGCAGGCGCAGAATAGCAGCAGAACGAAGGTAGCTTTACAACAGTATGGTAGGAGCTTTTCCCCCTTGAAGTGTAAAGTGATACTCCATGACTAGAAATCGTTTACCACCTCACTTACCATTGAAGGAACACAGCTAGAGCTTGTGGACAACTTTGTCTACCTCAGAAGCTGTATTTCTGCTAATGGCACTATTGGGTATCTCATCGTATCGACAGAGCCCGGTTGGTAGTTACCAACCTGAATCATTTGTGGCGTCGTCGGGACATATCCCCCTTCTTAAAGGGGAGGTCTGCAATGAATGTGTCCGCGCGGTCCTGCTGTACGGAAGTGAGTCATGGAAGTTTCGTGTGGGTGACATGCGTAGACTTTCGGCCCTCGACAACACATGTTTGCGGTAAATAGCCCGTGTGTGGTGGCAGCACCGGGTTCGCAACGAAGAAGCCTGGTGTCCCGCCTTGGGAAACATGAGCCCTCCGCTTGATCGCCTTATCGCAATACCTCAATGGAGGTGGCTTGGCCACGTTCTACGTATGTCATGCGAGCGTTTACCACGCCGCGCTTTATTTGCTCGCACGGGATTGAACTGGAAGAGAACGCGTGGAGGTCAGCCAACCATTTGGCTGCAACCCATGAAATCGCTGACGTGTTTCGTAACCGTCGGCCCAGTACCTCTTTCCTGGTTGGGGCCCCAAGGATGAGGACCGCAAATGGCTCGATATACTTGGAAGGACTGTATATTGAAATATTTTGAACAATATGATTAGAGCTATACCATACAAAATGTTAAAAACGGAACAAAATAGCGTGTGAGAACAAAAAGCCTAAAGATTAGTTGTTATATGTTCCTGAGATTTTGTACTTTCTTATATTTTGTTCCTCATGGTTTTCCAATGGCTCAATGTCTATATATAGACAGCGTTATATATATATATATATATATATATATATATATATATATCATCTGGAGTAATTTTGTTGTGCTGAAGACGAATATGACCATGAGAAGTTGCTACTGACTTTGGTTTTGTCTATATTTCACAGACTTCGTTTTTAATGTTTTACCGAATAAATGTATCCAGTCAAACTGTACCAACATCCTAAATAAGTTTAGTGTGAGGAAATTCGGCATCACATATTATATAGAGCATATTACATGATTTGCTGATGCATTATAATACTAGTACCATACTGTTGGTGAAGTACGCTGACGTCAGCAGTATGCTATACAAATTCTCAGTGGGCAAAGAGCAGCATTTGAAATCGTTTAAACTTAGTGCAATACAGTATGAGGTGCTGTTGCTTCTGTTCAGTTACAATACGTAACGAAAATGTCTAAAAAGTGCATTAATATTGTGGACAGATTTCGCTAAGTTTGAGCGGTAATGACATCAGCCAGCCAGAAGAAAAGTCTTATTGATCAAGTGAAGGAGGAATACCATCTTTATTTTTGGTTCAAGATGAGCGACCGAGAAAAGCCTTGTGCCTCGCATTTAGGTTGTGTTAGATGTACAACACAACCTCCCAGAGCTTGAGTGGTAAAAGACCATCAGTGTCATTTGCAGTTGCCATGGCGTGTATAGACGAGCAACGATACGAATGACCGTTACTTCTGGTTGGTTGCTTCGATCTCTAGTGGGATAACGATACAAACGAAGTTACGTATCCCAACATTCTGTGCACCAAGCCACTGCTACGTAATGAAGGACTTCCAATTTCAAAACTTACAGCAATACGTTCGCAGAAATCAGCTGTGGGGATGTGGGTGAGTCATCCGGTTCTTTTGCTGATCCGTCAGCGTGCGGAGGTCCAGATTTTCACTATGGTGTATCACCAACCCAACAGGGAAGAACAAAATGATCTTGTCCATAAATTAAACCTAACCAGGAATGAGGCGGAATTGCTAGGCTTGATAATTAGACAATGGTATCGTCTTGACGTCAAAACCAGTTCATATCAAAACTGCTCGCAGCAGTTGGAGCAATTTTTATGATAAGGGGGTAATCTGGCGTTCTGATCTGACAATGAGGGCCTCATGAATAGTTTAGAAATAACTCATAGCCCACTAGAATCAATCCTAGTTCTGAACTCTTCAAACTTTATTCTTAGGGCAGTGCTGTTGCACGATGGTAACTGTCACTCGTCTAGGAGTTACCATCAACACAGGTGAAACCGGATGTCTTTTTCGACTGTCAACAAGAATGAAGTCCGCTTGCTGCTTTTAAAGCAAACCTTCTGAAGAAGTTTTGGAAAACTAATCTGAATTGTATACCTCAAGAACATTTTGTCAACGGATTTGCAGAAGTCCTGCAAGCTGCGCGCCTGGATATCGAAGGTGTGTGCACCTTTCCGTAAGCTGGGACACTGGACCGGCAATCATCATCAGCTGACCGTTGGAGCCAAGCTGAAAGTATACAAATCAATTGTACTTTCAGTTCTTTTCTACAGTAGCGAAACAGAAGCTGCACAGGAAGACCATTCGATACTTCGAGAAATTTCGTCAGTAGTGTCTGCGTCGGATTCTGCGCATCCACTGACGTGATCGGGCACCTGGCACAGAAGTGCACGGACTGGATGATATGGTGCTAGCGAGATAACTGAGACGAATCGGACATGTCCGCTGTATGGCCAACTGACTGCTGATAAGCGGAACACACAAACCGAGGCTGCGCTATCAGGTTAAAAGATGAGTTTATCACGAATTGATGTTGTGGGAGAAAATAGCAACGGATTGCCACAAACCGTGTGGTGGCATTAAAAATGATGTTGCCAAGGTGAACTAGATAGGACCGCCACCTATGGAACTGGAACACTGGATATGTAAGCGACAACCACTAACAGATTCCAGTCAGTTGAGGTTGAGTGCTACGGTACAGGCTGTCATGTGTGCCTCAACCGAAATGGTTTGGTAAGTAAACGTGGCCACGAGCACCCTCTATCGAAGAAGTGACGGGTGAGTTGCATGAGTAAGCCCTGGCGCAGCGGTAGTACGCCACTTCGGGTTTCACTTACTAACCCGAGCTGTTAACGCAGCAGATGTGGCACGTGCGATGCATCATCGCTGCTGTTGGATTGTATTCGTAACTGTGAACATGCGTTGTTGCAGGCTTGATAGCGATTACCTGTAGAAATCAAAAGTCTGGCTGTGCTTGATGCGAATGATGGTAAGATGCCTACACGTCGAATACCGTCACTTCGACTACTGGTTAGAGAAAATTGAGAGGGAGACGGCGTGGAGTCTTCATGTCGGCGCCAAGCTCAAAGAGTGATTCTATCCAGTGTGGGTCATGGCCCAGCCACTACACTTTGTACGACTGATACGCATATTCCCACCTCCCAATCTCACATGAATGATATATACATGCGGAAAGAGTGTGAGCAGACTAGATCAACCGTGACCCCAGTGCACATTTAGGCTAGAAAAGGGGCGCGCAAATGGTGTGAATGGTGCAGCAAAAGCCACCTCTGTAGACGTAGGAATCCGGTGACTGTTCGATCGTGATCAGTTATAACTACTGTCTGAGCTGATGCTCCGAACGTGTATTTACGGTAGTGTGTACGGTCTGAGGACGAATCGGGAACGTGACTAAGTTGAAGAGATATTATTCATCAGATACGTAGATAGGTAGCGAGTATGCCGTATGACGAATGGCAGAGATTCATTGGATAGGTAACACATGATACATATTGACCAGGAGGAAGGCGCTATTTCGTAGAAGAAAGGAATAGCTCGAACAAAAACAACGTGTCGTGGTGTCCACTGGACGACTGGGCAGTAGAAAAGCACTGACACAACCCAGTTGACAATCAAACAGTGACAGTCGTGTTTTCAGACTGTTAAGGTCATAGCAGGTAGATGTCCTGATCCACTACATGAGTTGGAAGAGATTCCTAACAGGGGTTGCAACGATTGACATGGCCCACACGATCACCCACAGCGTTATGCGTCACCGCGCTCTGGTGAATGCGACAGAGGTATCTGCCGCCATAAACATATGTGAAGCACAGTAACATCAGAAGAGTGCACAATTTTGTGATGGCTCTGGGCAAAAAAGAAATAAAAATTTATGAAAGAGGAAACATTCCCCTAGAACAGTGAGGTTGAGCGATATGTAGACGGAAAACCTTCGAACTCCATAGACATCGGTAGATCCAGCTAGACGTAATAGTTAGTGTGACGTTTGAAAAAGGAAGAGATGCATGTAACAAGGAGGTCTGGGTGTGATAGAACCAGAAAGGTAAAGCGAAGAAAAAGTACAAACGCCACCTTTTCGTTCTTCAATATAGACAGATCGGCCTGACACCTTTTAAAGATGCCACGGTGAATGCACATCAGGCCATCTAAAGAGTATGGAATATTGATAATACAAAATATCAAAGGAGTGGTGGATTTAAAAGAAAGTGCAAACACTCCAACAATTACCTGAAAATAATAAGCGTAAGTTGTGCGACATGCTGTATCATCGATTTCTAATTTGGCGCGTTTGGAATCTGGAACAGTAGAGGACACAAGATACATTCAAAACCCCGCAAGAGAATAAACGAACAGAAACGAAAAAAGGCAATTGTACAACTGTCTGAAAAGCGAAATACGCTCTAAGCAGGGTAGTTACTGGGGAGACTAGGTGATGGAAACGTAAAGCATAAGATTTCGAAACTACAAGACTACCAAATGAAGACATGGAATAATCCTTTCAATTATCACACAAAAACTATGTGTCCTGGCTACTACAGAAACAGAATAGAGACCATTATTCACAGATGCGCTGTGCAGAAACATGGAGTGTAAGGTGATTAAAAACGACCAGCAAAGTGCAACATAGAGGCAATATGATACTCAGCTGTAACCAGGTGACAATAAAAAGCGTTCGGACCCACAGAGATATGCGGACCATTAAAACAGGTGCATTTGTGCCTAGAATTGACGTCCTTTTTGCCTGTTTGTATTGGAACGCAGTGATCTGGATCGTGATCCATTTTGAGATGAATTCCGGTTATTCAGATCATTGGGGCCGCATCCGAGTTGGTGCTCGCACAAAGCAGTGTACTCTCTGACAGATCGCTAGTGCTTGCACCTTTACAACCGAGACTATTGAAGTTGAAGATGAAAAGCAACGGCACTGCGACCGTAGACCAAAGGACTTGTTGCTTGGCCACTCATCTCCGATAACAACGTGCATCACAGGAGCAAGTTCACACTTAGGTTTTCAAGCGTCACCAGCGTGTTTGGATTGTGGCAGGTAACCACAAAATGACCAGAGTAAAATATCGTAGAAGTGCTTATCCAAGTACACCGGCAACACTGTTCCCCACAACAGATATTGACCTTGCTTGACGAATTCAATTGCGTTTTTATCATGAGATCTTATGCGTCTTAATCTGGTGGTATGGCTACCCAAGGGGAAAAGAGAACAAGCGCCTCTGAAGCAACAGAGAAAATCACTGCATTCGTTCGCGTGGAGCCGATGGATACGCAATACTGACGAATCCCGATAGGACGAGATAGAGGTTCAGCGTTTTTCCAGACGCTTTCCAGACGGGGAGGGGGGAAGACATGGGAACTACAGCAGAGAATCCTCAAATGGCTGCATAAAGAACCCCATACTCTCAAGGAATCACAGTATTCAAGTTCTTGCTGTAACACCGGTGTTAACCAGTGGTGGAGTATGCTTATGCAAAAGCAGTAGGCACTATGCGATGCAACGCCTAAGACATTACCAATGCGGACATTTCAAAGCACGCGGAGGCATGCGCTGAAGATTTACACACAGTTAGAACCGAACGGCGTCCATTAGGTCAAAGTTTATTGGTTTAAATTCAACATGGTTCTGTAAGTAACAAGCGAGTAGACAATACTTTTCTATAGCTCTGCTTTCCAGACACTAGACAGACCAAGATCGAAAGTCATTGGATGGACTGTGAACAGGAGGTTCTATGCTTCGACATCTGAGCACGTTAGCCTGGTTGCAAATTAGTTTTAAACAAGCAACCAAGAGAGGCTCACCTGGTTCCCGAAGGGATGGCGTCACGGTCGTGGGGAATACCTGAACCTTGAAAGCATTATCGACAAATGGTGTAGAAAGGATTTCGCTGGACACTATAGGAAAAAGAGGGTCACGTGATTCTGAGTGACAAGGTGGATGACTAACTGCATCGAAAACTGCAAAATTGTAAAACAGCTGAATGATGAAGGAGTTACGTCTACTTCAAGAAAAGAAGGATATTCATTGCAGGATCGACATACAAACAGAAATGGCGGATGAAGGCTTCTATTGGAATGAACAAAGCGGCGATACACTCCCATGTTCATCACCCCCCGCCATCGTCAATGGCAACAGGAGCGCAGCCTAACCCTGTAATGCGACATCGGTGTCATACAACCACAAGACATAGCAGACGGTCCTGATAACAAAGAATAAGCGAAAAGAGGGAGGACCGGATACAAAACACAAATTCTACACGCAGACGTTTGCACCTATCTTACTACACGTCGTACGACCACAAACCGGCCGTCATCCAGTGAGAATAGGACGACAGCTGTCACTTCTAAGTGTCGTAAACAAGTACAGCTAACCCAGTGCAATATACATACTCCAGATACAACGTTCAGTTAGGAAAGAATGTGAAGTGAAACGTAAGTGTAAGGTGTAAAGCATAGAGTATTGAGGGCAAGATAAACCAGCGGTAGCCAAACGTTTTCCGTGGCTAACCACTTTCATACACGAATATGAAGACGTCCAACATCAGGTAAACGGTGGACGACCATAGCAACCTCGACTTTTCTAAGGTAAGACAACTTTGGGCTGGGAATCACCTCGAGCGGGATGGTTAATGACACAAACATGAATAGCCTTTAAATTCTTTAATCATTCAAATGGTTTACTGCGGCTGGCTGTCTTATCCCCATAATACAGCTGAAGTCTTCCGAAAATTTCAGCCAGCTGTATGCCCTTATGCAACTGAAAGCACATCAGGACACGCCGATCCATGTAAAAGGCCAACTTGTTAGCTGCTATCCCGAATGGATTCACGCTGAATACTGCACGAGATGTTGTTGTAGTTCATACCGCATGATTTAACTCTAAGTTGGGACCGTTTTGAACCTAAAAATCGAAAGGTCGGATTGACTTGAGCCGCCCGTGTACATCGAACAGAGGATGGCGATCCCGGCGCACAGGTATGCTTGACCAAATGCACACAGCTTAAGCGGCTCAATCCAGTACGCGGAGGTGCCCCGTAGTCCCCCCGTTAGTGGACTAGACAGAGGGTCAAGAACGCTGAGATCGACAGTGCGAAGCGTGTCTGCTGCTTCGCTTGATTATTTTGAACATGTTCGATCCAAAATGCCAGCACAAATAGTTGTAAAAGATAAGCCCATACTTTGCAGGGGGGGTTACTAGAGTATATGAGCATCACAGGCATGAAAGAACATAGGTCATCGGTGCTGAAGCTGTTGAGTCTCGAACCTCGGATTCAGACGAGTCCTGTAAGCTAGTTCAAATTGTGCAACTTGAACACAAAACGGCTCGGAAGTGGGGATATAACTGGTCTATTTCAGAAGAAACTCCGGTCAACAAGCCAGGCGAAAGGTCTTATTAGTAACGAGAGCGCCGATGTTATCCGTGATTACGCAACTAGTCATTAGATTTCTTGGATAAGTGGTGCGGACCAGCCAATCATCACCAAACGGCCGTAACTCCTCTATTTCCCGAGCTCCCTCTGTCAAATGGCAAGTTCCGTTTTAGAATGCTCCTAACTGCTCGCCTGATTTTATTGCGTATGGCGCCAGAAAGGATACATTCTCTGAAATCCACCGTCTTGTTGGACGACCGGGATCCGGTGCACTGACAGTATGGCACACAGAAACAAATGCGCCATATGACAACGGAAATCCCACCCCCGGGGCGAGAACGTTCAATCATTGCCGTCAGGACATCTGATAATCTCATTCAGAGCGTGTTGATATTTTCTCAGTCGAAAATCGAGAGGTGTGATCCGCCTAAAAGTAGAAGTCAAAAAGAGTTGATAGTGGACAAAGCTTCAGCAAGTGTCGAAAAATCCGTGGCACAATGGCACCTGAGGCGCATGACCTAATCGAGTTCACTGCTGACCAGCTACTGAGGAGGTCCAGTGATAAAGCACCGTCCATGGTGCTTGGAGGAAGCGTTGTTTAGATACAGTGGACAAGCGGCGCACTAGTACACTAAATGAACGCGGTTATTCGTGCGCTCAGAACTAAGCCGAACGCCCCACCTGAGGGAGCTTATGATCCACTCATGAATGACTGGTTCGGGTACTCCGGAGTACATTCGAGCCGCTGGAGCACAGTCCGCAACCACAAATAGTGTCTAGCTCTGACGCGTAAATAAGCCGTACCTGAAGATACCAAATAGCATGTGCAATGATAGTTGTTCACGAGAATGCAATCCACGACCGAGGACTCGGTGATGTGGCTGAAAACGATGTGCATCAAGGCATGATCTGAAGTTGTTATCTTCAATAGCTTCAGACGCGCGTAACTAGTAGCGAGAAAATAGATAAGTCAGCTGCAATTAGTTACGTCGACGTGTGAATTGTGAATTCTGGCTTCGGAGACGCGGCACACATCAGTCCATAACGCATCCAATGTGCATCCAAGTGCAACGTTATATTGTCTGATTTGAAGGCACACATGTCGAACACAGCGGAAGAACATAGGTAACGTGGTCTGACCGGAAAATAATGACGGCAGGTTATTGGGTGCTACGATTTCACGGAAGCTTCAGCATCACTGCAGAAGCCGTCCTACATACTGCAGATTACAGAAAAAAGATTGGTGGTGGGGCTCAGGAAGGGTGTAGGGGAAATAGAAGAGGAAAAAGAAGAAAAGGGCCCACATTAGCATATTCTTGCTTTTCGATTATAATCCATGAAGTAGATAATAAGGCTGGAGCTTCGTGAGATAATCATTTGAGTTGGGACAATGTCCGGACGATCAAAGGGAGCAGAAGATTGACAGAAGTCCTCAGCCGAAAAGCTTAGCCGTATGGTCGTGGAAATAGGGCCATAGTCAACAAGATAAATTGTTTTGACAGAAATGGATACGACGCTCGGTCCAACGCCCAAACTGTAGGGCCGAACGACCGAGAAAGGGACGGAAAGTGAATCTAAAGAGCCACCTAGCGCAGCTCGATGGGTAGGGAAAGAACGCAAGAGGCTGTGCCACATTAGGAGTTAAGTTGGGCGGAACGTAGCAGATCAGTACGAGCGTGAGACATTATGATAACAAGCAAAACGTAGGCTGTACACCAAATATCGCGGGTGGAAGTCAGCTAGGAAAAATCTGGACCAACGGATACAAAACTTTCATAAGACGCGATTCGCTGGGAGATAGCATTCGTGCTAGTCGGTGAGAAACAGCGTTTGTTGTGCGCTAGCAAGCACTTAGTTTATGGTATTCGTTTAATACAGGTGCTGCATTATCCATTTTCTGCCCGTAGGAATGTGTGAACGGATGTGATAACATAGTTCGCTACCAACGACCTTAGAGCTGCAATTAATTAGGGAGCACATTGAAATAACGTTATTGTATCTAACAGAGCCACGATGTATTAGACCGGGAGGCATTCGGCCACAAGATAAGGTGAAAAATGTGTCAGAACAAGATCACTGCAAACGCACATAAGGCAGAATATTAAACACTGAGAATAGAGAGCGGGAGGATAAAATCCAGTGTTGCTCCATCGTAGGTGGATCGGGCACATGTGCGGAATCACGTCGCTGATTCCTGCGCAGTGGCAGCATATTGCAGCTGCACTACATCTTATCCGGGTGCAATACGCTCCCTATACCTGTAGTCCGCAAAGTGGCCATCAAGGAATCTCTTTAATTCCGACACCGATTTCACCTCCACTAGCGTCTTCGGAAACTTGTTCTAATATTTCACCATTCAAAGCTCGAAGCACAGAGGGTCAGCGATGCACTTTAAATCCGTTACCACTAGTTTGTACCGGTGCCTGCGTGTGCTGCTTGGTGTGCGAACGTGCAGCAGCGGCCTTAACATAGGGAAGTGGCCCAGGAGCAGTATCCCGTGCGTCCTAAGGAGAGCAACACGAAACCGATGATTTGACAGGGTATACAGCCCTAGTCTCCTGTATCGGTTCTCGTACGACGTACTCCGTAAACTGGGATGAGCCAGATAGCTACAAGCTTAACCCGTTCCAGCCTCTGCACCCCTTCTAATGTGATCGGACAATAGGAGGGTGAGCCGCACTCAAGCACCGGTCTTATCATGGAAAAGAACAGACGTGTGGCAATCTCTTCAGACCAAGGGCAGAAGCTGTGTCTAAGTGCCCAAAGCAGGTATAGCGTTCGCGTAGTCCGATCGTGTTGTCGACAAAATTTAGATCACAGCGTGAAAGTATGTCTAAATACTTTACGGTACCGGTGGGATGCAGCGGGTGACCGGCTAGGGTGTATGCACACCCATTGCCATCCTTCATCAGACCCATAAATGACGACTTGACTGGGTTGACCGGCAGATCAACTGCAAACTGCAGGGACAGGCTGTCGAGGGCTTGTTGAAGGACGTCACAGTCATCGGGAGAATCAATAACCTTCCAAATCTTCAAGTCGTCTGTAAACAGTGCACAAGGCGACAGAAGAAGCTGAGGCACTTCGTTTATATGGATCAGGAATAAAATTGGGGCACACCGCTAGTAGACGGGTGCCAGTCCATTAGGTGGTCATCCACCTGTACTCGCCGCCTTCTCCTAGTAAGTCACTGATCCATCGGCGCAGTGCGCCACCAACACCAAATATCCTCGTCTAGTGGAGCAGGACCTCATGGTTCACTTTATCGAAAGCTTTACTGAAATCAATTTAGATAAGTTCCACTGACTTCTCCCGGTTCAACGCTTGCAAATATTCCTTCCGCGTCAACAGCAGGTTGGTGATGCACGAACGGCCATTCACGAAATCATGCTGTGCCAGCGTTGGATCTTTCGACTCCAGTAGCTGGAGAAGACCCTATTCCACAATCTTCTCGAGCACCTTCGCTAAAACAGAGGTAAGACAACTCGGTCGGTAATTGTCCACATTGCGTGCACATACGGCGCAAGAGGCAGATGGGGCAGGAAACTGAAGGTTATGTTGTGCGACTAGTCGGTAGAAAATAGGTCGGAAATCACGCGTGACATGGATAATCTGATGGCCACCTGGAGAGACAGCGAACAACTGAGCACAGTAAGATAAAAAGACCACAAAACGTACCAATATCAGTTGTCTCGCAATCCGCGAAATGCCGACTCACGCCCATCCATTCTTCCTGCAATAAATAAGTTAATTGCATCATTTAATGATCGAAAGGGTGAATGAAAAGAATCTACAGTAAACACGAGAGAGGATAACATTAAATAATGGTAGCAGACCCAATGTGAAGTACAAGTTTGGAGCACACCAAGTGGCGTGACGTGAACGCTTGTCTAATAGCCGTACACAAATGACGCAGAGAATGCGAATGTTGTAACCCAGTGAGGTAGACACCAGCTTCGCGGCAGCTTTTATTGGGACAATAGCAATGCGATAGCGAGTTTATTAAAATGTGCGTGCCTCCATTGATTTCTGCTCATCAGATGCTTCATAGCTGCCCTATCTACTCCCCACGTTGTCTCATCTAGCCCGCCAATCTCCACTTCGAGTTAAGCTTCACATCTATCCATTCATCTCACTGGTTGTCCGCTGTAACCGCATGCCTCCATGGAGAGCGTGGAAGCTCGAATGCTGGATGGATATACACGTGGACTTCCAACGTGACGCGTCGCACAGACCGCTATTGATACTGCGCCACACCATAAGATGCAAATGGCTGAACAAGGTAAGTTGCGGGGATGCAAACTGTACCGGATTGGGAACGCCATAGATGAGTTCATTTCGTCAAATTACCTGGCATGAATCAGAGCAATAGCATACATTGTACTGTATGGGAAGGGAAATGGCACTTACATGAGCACCAGATTGACTACTGATGAGCGGATGCAATTCAGCGCCCATACAACTCTTCTAATCCAAATTTTAAGTAACTGACTGGTAGCCAAAACGGCTGGGATCACCAAGGAATATTGAAAATTAACCAGAGCGTCCAGAAGAGTATAATTACAGAATGAAACGATTAAATTGTATGCCGAATGCAGAATAAGGGCATTCACGCTTGGTCTGTGCGAGGCCGCTAACTATGGTCTGATAGACGCGGAATGGCTAGAGGTTTATATGTGTTTGGAACCGCATGTAGAGCTGATTTTTACGCGAACACCAGCCTCCTTAGACAGAAAAGTGGTCGGGGCACAAGCCAAAGTAAAATTAACCCGATAACGGCTAGCTAGCATTAACGGCAGAGTTACTCAGTCAACAATGGGCGAAGATAAAGTTATTGGTTAGGAACCCACCAGCTGTTGCGAAGGAAAATGGTTATCCAAAGAAGATTCAGTTCGAAACAAGTTGTGGTGATACATAAATAGACAGCGCATTGGGAGGAGTCGGAGAAAACACAGTTCCAGATTCACTGGCCAAAAGACCCGGAAGAGTGCGGTACCAAAGCAAGGTTAATGACATACTGGCGAATGTGAAAAACAGCAGTATGCATAGATGGGGGAAATAATGTCCACACGCGGAGAATACGAAACATGGTAGCTCATGACGACTTACTATTTGTGGTGGACCATGAACTGTAAGCTTCTTGACACCAGCCGCTCTGGCAGTCAATGCGATTCCTAAAGAAATCGAGTTGAACGCAAACATGCTGTTACCCAAGAGGCCTGAGACACAATCCCACGACATTTGGGTGAAGAAAACGTGATGTAGACGAGCAGCTTTCGATCTTAACAAAAAACATGAAACCAAAAAGTGGAGTACCTGTGTTCTGTCAGGGCACGTTGTGTCCCCTCTCCGCAGTTAATCAAGTATCGAGTGGTACCCGTATTCAGTAAGAGAGAACGAACGCCACCATTGGAGCCGGAACCCAAGACAGTAATCGAAATTGTTCCAGGCGGTTTCATTGGATCGAGAAAGGGCTTGTAGTATCTACTTCGTTTAACGAGGATAAAGGATGAACTCTTGAAGAAACGCGAGAGGAGGTTCATAGATCGGGACTGACGATCAGTTACACCATACACCGACCTGCTACTAAGTTCGTAGGCCCTGTGATGTACCGAGTTACCAGCCAGTGACCTGCTGTGCTAAAATGATGAGTAAATGCTTGGTATGTAGATCGAACAGAGTAATTCTAATAAGAAAATAAACACGAGAGTTTAGAAAGAAGCGATGGAAAGAGAAAACTTAAGGACCAGTGGATCCAGCGACTGACTGCCCATGCAGCAGGCATGATGGTTACCTCGAAGATCCATGCTCAGGAATAGAAAAAGCGGTTAGTAAAGCTTGAAATGTGGGTAACGAAGTCAAAGGGAAGAATGTGGAAAGCATGCACCATATGAATGCGTTACGTCGTCCGAAAGTGTCATTTTAAGCCTACAAATTGCGTCATTTGTTGTGAGGAATTTTAGAAAGGGAAGTCCACAAGGAGGAGAAAGTTATCAACAACAAAAAGAGCAAAAGGTAGTGTGCGAAAATGAAAACCATTGTTATACGGCTCACACCAGCCTCATTCTTGTATCCAAGTGTTCTTATCCTGTGTGCAAAAAGAGTTAATGGAATTCTAATAAGCACCAATATTTTCGGCTCAACAAGGATCATGCATGGTGCACAACTGGAGTAAGGATAAGTGAGAGCCCAGCTCGCATTCAACCATGGCAGAGACGTCAATACGAAAGTTCCAGCACGCAGCTAGCACCATTATGCACACAGGGCTCAATTGTCATAACCAGATGGCACTCGGCACAGCATACCAACACGCTTAGTTGGCTTACGTAAGGGGAAGGTGAGAAACGATTGTATAAACTGCACGCAAATGTATGATACGTCTAAGTGACAAGTAAATTGAATTGACATGTCCCGAGATGATTACCTTCTGCTAAACGGTGTCGTCTGGATGGCACTGCGTTTCGGGAGTATTTCAGTAGGAAAACACAATCGGCGGATGCACTTTCATTGAGCGGCATGGGGAAGACTGATTTGCGACGGGATAAGTTACAGCACTGTTTTCCATCACTGACTGTCGGCCAAAATTAAAGTGATTTTCCACTCGCTAATGGCTAACAAATGCCAAATGAAGCGGTGAAAGAAAAGAAGTAAGTAAGGCACTAGCAGCACGCCGGTACGCAGTACCGACACTTCGCTACCGAGAGACTACCACCGGTCGCACGTAAGTTAAGGACATTGCGAGGGTCGCCCTGCTCCTACATAAGCATGAAGCCGCGCCGCTAGATTACAAGACAAACTTGCTACGCCGGTGAACAACAAGAGGACCACGAGTTGCCCCTAAAATGTGTGAGACAAGAGAATACATGGCTTAGGATAGCATATCCTTCTGCAAACAGGAAGCAACGAGGAGCACAAGGCCGTTCCACAGGCGTTACCAAGTGAACAGCAGATAATAACTGGGGTACGTTACCTGTATTGACTAGGCCGGGATAGATGCCGCATGGTATTGCCTACGAAAGTGGTATCATCCACAACGACAGAAAGCATATTCGGAGCCAAGCACTTAAGCCGACGGGATATGAAACCCCAAAAGAAACAACTAAGCCAGACCGCGAGCTAATGAGGTCATTAAGAGAACTGCCCCTTCCAATCAACATTAAGATTCAACGACTAGCGTTCGTACGTCATTCCCAATAGATATCACTTTCCCGACAAAACCAATTCACCCGTGTACATCACAAAATTTACAAGCCATCATTTAATCAAAAATGAAAATGAGGAAGAGCTAAAGGAGGTTATAAATATCACCGCCAGCACTCAAGCATCTTTTCTGGTCGAGAATTATTTCACTAACGCAATCATCATAGCTACCTTAAACCACAGCGAAAGACCAGTAGCCTCTTTTCTCGCACCTTCAACTGGGAAGCATGATTTCACAGTAAAAAAAACCTGTGCCACGGCTGAGATAGTGAGAAAATTATGACATTAACTGTTGCGTAAACACTTAATCTGATCACAGATAAGTGTTCTGTTGTTTTTTCATGTGAAATAACACAAAACAGGAAAAAACAACAAAACGCAGCGTTGCAAGCTTGAACTCGCGCCTTTCCAGTACGGTGTTACGTATGGACAAGGATAATACAATCAGGGAGCCGACACATGTTTACGCACTTGCCGCGGTCGCTAGTCTGGTACCCGGAACCTAAAGCAAGATGCTTTGCCACTCACTTTAGTTGTCCCCCCTAACCCCACTATACCTTGTAGCTGAAATAAAATCAATGATTTAGAGTTGTGCCGCTTATTGTGAAATGAAACTGGGGGTTCTCAAATGCTCTGGAGGTCACCTGGCAAGTAACTCGCCCATAAAGCAATTGCCCAATCGAAGGCATAAATGGAACATGGTAGAGTGTTATTTCCTTAACCCTGACAAGGTGAGCGCTAAGTTGAACAATAAGGAACCGCCCTACTCGAAGCCCTGCATTAGATACGATCGCATTAGTGGACTAAAACAAAGGCTTTCAAACATAATTGGAAATCCTTTAGTTTTTTTATTCCCGAATGACAGTCATCATCGGATCGGTTTGGGTTGAGCGTACGGTCTCCGAATGCGATCCTCGAGTAAAACAAGTAGAGCTTACACAGTATAGCTCAAAAATATGCAAGTGCGCGACTTCCAACTGGGGAAAAATCGTATCGATCCAGCAACTGGCTCCCACAGTCGAACAAACGAACGAGCATGACGAGAAAATTGACGCCGATCCAGAAGAAACGAGAGCCTGTAGGTGACGAACAGACTTATTTATAAGACAAAAGAGACGCTTCTGGACCACTCTCAACCAATCTTTAGGGAGATGTTACCAAGACACGGACCTGAGCCAATTTAACAATGCGGGCGATCAAAACACAGTCCTTCTGCTTATGTGAAACATTACTAACCATGAGTTACAAGTGCTCAATAACTCTGTCTCCTTACACGATCTCACCCTAAGGTAACCCAGGTTTACTGTCACACTTTTCAAACTTGGAACAAAATGTGATATTCTTCGTTTCACATTTATCGCTGTCACTACACCTCAGTTTATTATATATTCGCTCTTGTTTCTCTTTACAGACGAACAAAACCCGAATTGCCAGGTTTTGATTCCTTGTTTGCCGGTCTGTTTCCGACTTCCCCGTCATACTACAGCCAAAACATCGTCTCTAAACTGGCCGCCCATAGTAAATCAGATACAAGTACTGCTGCAGGATTGGCAGATGTCTGTGCCTGCTCTCACCATTGCTGGTGACGTCCTAGAACAAGTCCACTGCTTCACTTATTCAGGGAGTTGCACCACAGCTGGCAGCTGCATTGGAGATGAGGTCTCGCAACGCATCCCAAAGGCACACCTTGCATTCATCAGACTGAGACACTTATGGCGCACTCAACCTTAGTCTCCACCACAAGAGCAGGGTATCCATTGTCCGTGCGCTCCTCTTGTACGGCTGTGAGACCTGGCCGACTAGCTCGGAAAACATAAAACGATGGTCAGTTTTTGACAATCGTCCGCGTAGGATTGCTCGCGTGTGGTGGCAGCATCACGTGAGTAACCCAGAAGTCCGAGAGCGAGTGTTTGGAGCAAACAGTGCATGCCTCCAATCCGTTATTCTCCGAGACCGTATGCGTTGGCCAGGCCACGTATACCGTATGCCAGCCTATCGCCTTCCCCATCGAGCGTTATTTGCGCTCCTAGGAAACGAATGGAAGTGCCGCGGTGGACAACCAACGAGGTAGAGGAGCATGAAGAAGGCAACCTCAAGCTTTTGCATCCGTTGGACCGGTTCGCTTTCCAGGATGGGGACCACGCGATTCGGACTGCCAGTGGTCAGAAACGTTGAAGACTATGGCGTGCAACAGGCAACAGTGGAGACAATGCTGTTCAACTGCGGTATCTATTAGTTAACGTCACATCGAATACAAAAATCAAAACGGCGTGTGAATAACCGAAAAAATGGTTTTGTTCTAATGTTGCTCTTCGCTTGGCCCTTTTATTTCACTATGGTTCTTAGGACACATTACCTGTAATCAGATTGTGAATACATATGGTTGGCGGCATCCGGTTTCGGATTTGCCTGTCACTGCGGCTAGCCACAGGACACCTGTGCCTCCAGAGAGACCATGGATGGCTTGCGCTGCACCACCCACAATGCCAACCACACACCCCATATCCCGTGTAAACCCGAAGGTATAAGACCGGGAAGCATATGCATGGGAGCCACGTATCATCAACGGAGTCGGCCCACACTCCTTCACAGGCAAACACAAGCACGCTGTATTTGGGGAATCAACCGCACACAGAGCAGTGGATGGACCGTAGTCCGCTCCACACTGAGTGCATGGAACCGCTCTTCGGGGCTAGCACGGACACAAGGACCGTGCACCACGTCCCCCCCCCAAAAGCAACGACCAACTGTCTTCTGGAGCCAGTATGAACGAGATAGTGGGTAATAGACAGATAAGCACCTTGTCAACATGCACATCAAGCGCAGCTACATCGGGGATGTCAAACAACAGGCAATCACTCAAAATGCTGATATCGAATAAAGTAAACGCATATGACGACCTAAATACTCGCTAAATGAGCATATGTAAGAAATTGGTTATAAGTGAATCCGTAATAAGTACAAAATGCCCGAAAGTTATTTAAAAAATACCACGCGATAAAATTACGCAAGTTCACCACAGTTTGCATGAGCGACGTGTGCAAGTTGGCAGATTATCAAGTACGCAAAATAAACCAAGTAAATTGTAATGAATTTTATCCACATTAAAAAGACCTAGTTTAAGTGTAAGTTGGTTTAGCCCAACTGCGGTGAAGAAGCATCATGAATGCAACATCAGCCTCAGCATGGGGCGTAACGATCGAGTGTTTCCATCTCCTCTTCAAGTGCAGTTTTCTAAAAATTTCGAAGTCGACACACCAGTGGAAAAATTGCTGACAATATTTCGACTCATCTCCCCGTTACTGTTAGCATAGTGCAGTTATGAATGTGGTATTCGGCATAGTTAATACGTATCGTCGGCCGGTGACCGAAAGGATTGCGCGTTTGCTTGGTAAGCCGAAGGTCACCGGTTCGAATCCGCGTAAGCGCGGTCGATCGT